TTTTTTTATTACATTTTTTCCCCAGACACACAAACCCCATCGTAGAGAACGGACAGACTCACCCCTGTCAGAAAGTCATCCAGGAGGTAAAACACCTCATGAACTTCATCATGTGACTCACCTGTAGATGATGCGTGTGTCGTGTGACTCACCTGTAGATGATGCGTGTCATGTGACTCACCTATAGATCTGGCCGGTGCTGTCGGACACTCTGAACACTCATCAGGCTGATAACAGAATTGTGGAGCGATGCTGTCGCTGTCTCAGGTTTGCTGTCAGATGTGTTGGGAAAGGTTCGGCCTCCCTGCTACAGCCACTCGTCACTCAGGTGAGAAACACCTGCTCTCACACACCTTTGCTGTGTGTTGGTTGGATTTCATGATCTATGGTTTTGAATTGTTTTGATCAGTTGATTTCTCTCTGATTGTTCAAACAAAATCTTTCTCCTGCTTTAAAGTTCCAATGTGTAAGATATAGGTGAAAGGGAACTATTGGAAGAAACTTAATGTAGAATAATCCTCATGATGTTTTCACTAGTTCGTTTCATCTCAATTGTATGAATTGTAGTTTTCTTTACCCTAGAAAAGGCCCTTTATATTTAAATACTTTACATTTAAATACTTTTTTACATCGAGGGGACCCTCTCTACGGAGGCCACCATGTTTTTTACATTAGTCCAGACTGGACAAACTAAAACCTTTTTGAGTTTTTATAACAACTGAAGCTGCCACAGGTTCTTTTTCATGTTTGGAAGGAGGGGGGGGAGGGGAGGGGTGTTCAGCTGCAACATGAAACTTCAACACTAGATGTCACTAAATTCAACACACTGTACCTTTAATGAATCTACCTGCTAAGCTGTTTTCTATGTTGGTTGTGATCAGATGGTGAGTGTGTACCAGGTGTATCCACACTCCTGCTTCCTGTACCTGGGCAGCATCTTGGTGGATGAGTACGGCATGGAGGAAGGCTGCAGGCAGGGACTGCTCGACATGTTACAGGTAATGATGCACCTGAGCAGCAGGTGAACTCACCAGGATCCAGTTTGATTGTAAAACATTTCGATGATGACATGAGTCTTCCTCCTCCAGGCTCTGTGTATGCCGACCTTCCAGCTGCTGGAGCAGCACAACGGTCTGAGGAATCATCCCGACACCGTGGACGACCTGTTCAGACTAGCCACCAGGTGAGTGCAGGTCACCTTATCACTTCTTGTTTACACACTGAGGGTTGACTATTCTGATGTGTGTGTGTGTGTGTGTGTGTGTGTGTGTG